AAGAGTTGGTAAACCATGTTGCAGCTATATAAAACCCTTGTTAGGCCGCATTTGGCGTATTATGTGCAGTTTTGGTCACCACATTACCAGAAGGAGGTGGAAGCTTTGGAGAGCTTACAGAGAAGGTTCACGAGGATGTTGTTCAGTCTCAAGGGCACTGGCTCTGAGGAAAGGTTAAAAAAGACTAGAATTGTTTTCACTGGAAACACTTTGGCAGAGAGGACACCTGACAGAGGTCTACAAAATTATGACAGGCACAGATAGGGTGGATAGTCAGAGGCTTTTTCCCAGGGTTGAAGCTTCAATTGCAAGGGGGCACAGGTTCAAGGTGAGAGGACAGACGTTTAAGGGAGATGTGCGAGGAAAGTTTTTCATACAGAGAGTGCTAGGAGCCTGGAATGCACTGCCAGAGGAAGTGGTGAAAGCAGGCATGTTGGCGACATTTAAGAGGCATCTGGATGGTTACATGAATAGGGAGGGAATAGAGGGATACGGACCGAATAAGGGCAGGTTTGTTTTTAGTTTAGTCAGGGCATGATGATCGGCACAGGCTTGGAGGGCCGAAGGGCCTGTTCCTGTGCTGCACTTCTCTTTTGTTCTTTGTTCTCTTTGTCAGAAGGGGAGATGTTCGCTGATGATTGCACAGTGTTCAGCACCATGCGTTACTCCTCAGATACTGAAGCAGTCCGTGTTCAAATGTAACAAGATCTGGACAATATCCAGGCTTGGGCTGACAAGTGGCAAGAAACATTCACACCACACAAATGCCAGGCAATGACTATCACCAACAAGAGACAATCTAACCACCACCATTTGACATTCAATGATGTTATTCTGGTGAATCCTTCACCATCAATATCCTTGGTGTTACCACTGACCAGAAACTCAACTGGAGTCACCAAATAAACACAATAGCTACAAGAGCAAGTCAGAGGCTAGGAATACTACAGCTAGTAACTCACCTCTTGACTCCCAAAGCCTGTCCACCATCTACAAGGCACAAGTCAGGAATGTGATGGAATGCTCCTATTTGCCCGGATGGGTGCAGCTCCAACAACAAAACCAATCCAGGGCAAAACAGCCCACTTGATTGGTACCACATCCACAAAATTCCAACACCAATGCCCAGCACCAGTGCGCACTAAGTACAAAATGGACTGCAGAAATTCACCAAAGTTGCTCAGACAACACCTTCCAAACTCATGACCACTTCCATCTAGAAGGACAAAGACAGCAGATACATGGGAGTACCACCACCTGCAAGTTGAACTCCAAGCCACTCACCATCCGGACTTGGAAATATATCGCTGTTCGTTCAGTATCTCTGAATCAAAATCCTGGAATTCCCTCCCTAATGGCATTGTAGTCAACCCACAGCAGGTGGATTGCAGCAGTTCAAGAAGGCAGCTCACCACCACCTTCTCAAGGGCAATTAGGAACGGGCAATAAATGCTGCTCAGTCCAGCGATGCCCAAGTCCTGTGAAAGAATAATAAAAAGAAAGACAATCCACTCTGCCTACCCCATATATTGATATATTGAACTTGAAGGGAGTACAAAACACGTTCACCAAAATAAAACAGAACTTTAAGGGTTAATTTGTAAGACAGGTCACTGGAATATTGCTTGCATTTAGAAGATTATGTGGGGATCTAGTTGAGAAATATAAAATGAAGGGTTTAATACGGTAAATACACAAATGTATTTCCTCTGGTGGAGTAATCCAAAGCAAGGGGGCTCTTAATACTTGAGGTAAGTCACTTGGCAGAGATATCCAGAAGTTCCTTTCCACATAAAATGTTCGGAAAATCTGATTTATGTTTGTTAAGATTATCAAGGGATAAAGGGCAAGGGCAGGTAGAGATCAGTTATGATTTAACTAAATGGCGAAATGGCCAGGTTTGAGGAGCTAACAAGCTTAAGCCTGATCATATGTTTCATGTTCAAAGAGATGATATTAAATAGAATTGCAAACTGTTTGAGAGTTATATTTTTCATGATATTGCATGAAAAATAAAAACTATATTCATTTAATTGTACCGTAATACTGATTAATCAACTTTCTGTAAGATTAAGGAAATTGATGTGATGCCTGTAATATCACAGCACATACAATGAGGCCTTTTTTCACTTTCTGAACTTTGGTCATACATAATTTGATAATAAATGCAAAGGGTATTCTCCAGAATGTAGTGATACAAAGTAAAGACTTGCATTCATATAGTGCTTTCAATGATTACTGGATGTCTCAAAATACTGTATTGGCAATGAAGTACATCTTTTGTTTGAGATATTGTTTAAGGATAAAATCATGGCCAGGACACAGGGAATGCTCACCCAATCGCATAGAAATAGTAACACAGAGGATTTTACATTCACCCAAGCTTTAGTCTAATGTCTCATCCAAAAGAGCAGCCCAAGCCATGGAGTGGGACTTGAGCCCATATAACCAACCGTGTCATGCCTGACACAGTTAATTTATGCGAGCAATCAGGCTGGAGAAATTCCTGTTCGCCAATAAAACAGGAAGCAAAGGCAGCTCTCCTGTAACATTCGCAAAATCATACAGCACAAAAGAAGCCCTTCGGCCCATCAAGTCCATACTGCCAAAAATATACCACTAGCTACACTGGCCCCACTTGTCCACACTAAGCCCATAGCCTTAAATGTTATTATATTGCAAGTGTTCATCCAAGTACTTTTTCAAGATTGTGAGGTTACCCACCTTGACTACCCTCCCAGGCAGTGCATTACAGACCTTACCAACCTCTGGGTGAATGTTTATTTCCTCAAATTCCCCACTAAACCTTCGACCTTTCACTTTAAATATGTGTCCCCTAGCTCTTGAGCCTTTGGGAACAACTGCTTTCTATTCACTGTGATCATGCCCCTCATATTTTTATATACCTCCGTCAGACCCCCCTCAACCTTCTGTGCTGTAAAGAAAACAGCCCAAACTTATCTAACTTCTGATCATCGCTGAAATGCTCCGCCTCAGACAACATCCTAAGGAATCTCCCCTGCACTCCCTCCAGTGCAATTACATCCTTCCTATTGTGTGGGGACCAAAACTGCTCACAGTACTCCAGCTGTGGCTTAAATAAAGTTCTGTACATCTTCAACATGACCTGCTCATATAATTTATGTCATAACTGACAAAGGTATCTGTCCCATGAGCCTTGTAATACCCTATTAACCTGCCCTGCCACCTTCAAGGGATCTGTGGGCATACACCTCAAGATCCCTCTGTTCCTCTGAACATCCTAGTGCCTTTCCATTCATTGAGAATTCCCTTGTCTTGTTCCCTCTTCCAAAGTGCATCACACCTCCCAAGTGTTGAGCTCAATTAATTTGGACTGGGCAATGTAAATATCATTGTACCTACATTTATCTTCCTCACCCAGATCATGGATGCTATAGGAATCTAGAAAGGAATTTCCATCCTTGACATTTGTTACAACTTTGATCGCTATAAAAAGCGGAAAAACTGGGATAAACAAAACCTTACTGTGAAGAAAAGGTGACCTCCATAGCAACAGAAATTATGCAAATTAATACTACTTCTTTTTGAATTAAAAAAATACACATTCACAATTGGTTTACCCAACAAAACTAATTCAGCAGACCAAGCCAAGAGATGTGCATGGGGAGTGTTTTTTTATTATTACTCCTTGGAATGACAGCACCAGTGGCAAAATCAGCATTAATTGCTCATCCCTAACTTCTCTGAAAAGATGGTGTTGATCCATTTTCTCAAACTGCTACAAACCATCTAGTTTAGGTGCGCCTTGGTTCTGTTGGTAAGAGAGTAGAAGAATTTTGCCCTAGAGACTGAATATAGCTGCAGATGCAGATGGTGTGTGGATTGGAGGGAAACCTGGAGATGGTGGAGTTCTCATGTATCTGCTGCTGTTGTCCTTGGGGGTAGGGGTCATGGTTTAGAAATCAGAGGGGGCATAGTGAGTTACTGCAGTGCATAGATGTAGATGCTGCTAACACTGTCCATTGGTGCTAAAGGGAGTGAATATTGAAAGTAGTGGATGGGGTGCTAATCAAATGGGCTGTCCTAACATTGTTGTTGAGCTTCTTGATACTTTCTGTTATAGCTGCATACAATAATGCCACGACATTTAATTTTAACAGCTGCAGAGAAAAAGAAACCTCTGTTCAATGTTTTATGCTCGAGCTTAAGTGAACTCTATTGTTCTCATATACAGAAGGAAGGAGGATGAGATAAAAGATTAATCTCTTGTCCTCCTGAGGATCAGTCCACTACACTGTCAAATAAAATGAGGATCCTGAATGAGGAATCTACTTCCATCTTGACGTCTAACTTGCAATTTCAGTTTAAACACCTTCTGAATTCAATGAATGAAATTAATCCAACAATACACATTGGCAAAAACTTTTGGAAAAGTTGAAATGTACTCATAACTACCTTCCCAATGTTTGGAATTGTCTTGATATCACTTTTACTGGCTCTTTGCAAGTTTCATGACTAACTCTCAAGTTATGTATTTTCTAGAAGCTTTGATTTCATACTATCAAGTCAATAATATATGCAGCAGCTCTGTGAGTTAGTTCTTTGTACTATGAAACCGAATGTGTTTCTGGGGCAAATTCTACCTGAAAACAAAAAAAGCTTTCAGGCAATTTGGTAAAAATCTTAAAGTACAAGGATGTTGCTATTTCTCCGTGTATATATCTATGTCTTGTACGATCACCTTGTACTATTTATGATCAATCTAATATTTCCTCCATCCATTCCACGTGTTTATTTAAATAGAAATTGGAATTTTTAGTACATTTATCTCTTCCACATGTCAGTGCATTGTGAACAATAACAAATAATATACTCTCAAAATTTAAAAGGTACCTTATGAACTGAAATATGTAAAGGGCATTTTGGGTACTTTTTATATTGCTTTGTAAAGCAAGAATGTAAGTACTTAGCCAAAGAAAGAAATATTGCTGTCAAATTAATATGTGCATGATTTGCAGCCATTGCAAGATGTGACAGCCAAAGAGGGGCAGCTGGTTGTGTTGGAATGCCGAATTAAAGGATCACCATTCCCAAAAATCGAATGGTACAGGGAGGAAACTTTAATAGAAGATTCTCCTGATTTTCGAATCCTGCAGAAAAGTGAGTGTCTGTTATTTCATTGGTGACTAATTAACACAGCAAATCCCATATACCTATTCTAGAATTGTGTTAATTGGAAGTCTGTATAGAAAGTTCAACAGGTAGAGATAAGTTTCCTTTTGTAGGCAAGAAATATTTGGCCAATGTCCACATTGATAGGTAGATCCCAGGGTTGTACCTGTGATGGAATAGTTTTACTTGGGGCATAACAAGTAAGGCATAAACCTTCAACATTACAGGGGGATATTGTCAATGCCCATAGTCTTTGCGTTTCAGTGTGCTCAGCCAATGTGGAACCAATCATATTGGTTGAAGATTGGCACCTGTAATACTGGGCACTTGAAGAGAAGGCTGAGGTGGATGGTCCAGCGTTGTCTTCTGCACTAGTAATGACAAAAAGAGGGCTATTTAATGCTGTGAGATTAGATATCATATTATTATGCTGCTGATGACCTACTACATCTCATGGCTCCCCTCTTTAGGACTGCTAACTCTGCCCTATTTAGCATGGGACTAGATCACACAACATAATACAGGGTCTCGTCAGTGTGTAAATAGAATTATGTCTCCACAACCACTCTGCGATGGCCACACATACCACATCTATCACGGATGGATACATCTGCAACAAGTAGTTGGTGAGGATGGGTATTTCCTTCATGTTGTTTTTCTCACTGCTTGATGCTGGCCCAGACTGGCAGATATGTCCTTCAGGTCTTAGCTAGCTCAGTGAATAGTGGTGCTACCGAGCCACACTCGGGGCTGGACTTTTGAAGTCTCCCCAGCCTGTGTACCCTTGCTAGCCTCAGATGGCAGATGGGAAGTTTCCTAGTTGACCTGATGACTTCTAAAGTGCAGAATCAGACTCACAGAGCAACTCCCTCCTGACTGTATCACTGTGCAGCCACCTCTGAATTGAATTGAATTGAATTGGTTTTATTGTCACATCTTCTCAAATTATTATAGTGAGAAGTTTATAAGTCGGCACTTGCAGCACCATCTAAGGTACGAAGGTATCTAGGTACAGTCCTTAGTTACCGAATAGAGAAATGAAGAAAACAAAGTTACATTACAGCTATACACAGTATAACCATGGGTCAGAAAAACAAGAAGCAAAGTTAAAAAGATAAACATCGCAGTCTCTCTCCAAAGGCTCGCCACAGCAGATCAGTGCACGGGACCTTCACGCACCGCACTGGGCCATTATTGTCAGGCTCTGCACTGTGCTGCTGGTCACTGACGTTCCCGATTCGAGCTGCTGATCACCAACATCCTGCTCTGTTGCCGGTCACCGATGTCCCCACCGTGGCCACTGGTCACTGGCATTTCCGCTCCAGCCTCTGGTCACTGGTGTCCCTGCTCCAGCCGCTGGCATCTCCACTGACCCTGCTTCGGAGGCTGGGAGTCGGAGGTCGGGTGTCCGAGGCCGAGACAAGGAGAGAGGGAGAAAAATAAAGAAGAGAAAGAACAGGTGGAGCGGAGGAGCTCTGGCTGGAGTATCCTACTCCACCAGTAGATCTGTCCTGCCTCTGAGGTAGAACATACCCAGGAATAGTGCTAGAGAAGTCTGGAACATTGGCTCTGAGGTATGATTCTAAGAACATGACTACATCAAGTCATTTTGTCAATAGCTTGTGCGCCATCTCTCCCATATTTAGTATATAATAATAGTTGATGAGGAGCACTTTTGCAGGATTAATTAGGGAGGGTGTGTCTTTGCATTTGAGTATCTATGTCAATGCTCATTGGTCTGCCCAGTTTTATTCTTCTTAGCCTATCTGCAGTGGTTTGACTGAACTGGGTAGTTTGCTAGGTCATTTCAGAGGCAGTTAACAATTGACCATATTGCTATGGGTCCTGAATCACATAGAGGTCAATCTCAGGAATAACTAGATATTTCCTTCACTGAAGGACATTGGTGGACCAAATGAGTTTTTTAAAACAACAATCTGTTAATTTCATGTTCATCATTGTTCGTAGCAGCTTTTTATTTCATACTTAATAATTGCATGTACATTGTCAAGTTAAGATTTGAAGTTATGTCTCAAAATTCCAGCCTTGAAACTGTTCCCAAATCCTTGGCAAGTTCAGCTGAATTTAAATGTGCTAAAGCTCCAGTTTCAGTTATAGACCTTGACTGTTATTAAATGCAACTTTTTTGTAAATGTTCTCCTAATAAAAATGTCCTAATTAACTTATTTTTTCTCCCATTTTCCTTTTCTGTTATCCTGATGTTTATTTAGAGCCACGTTCAATGAGTGACTCAGGTAAGTGGTTGCATCTTTTGAGTCTTTCTCATCCCTTTCAGCAAAGCCAGCCTTAAGGAAAGGTTTTACAAACTTTTCTGATGAAGGGGAAATGCAAGTGTTCATTCTGTCTTTTTCTTCTCGAGTCTCATAGCAAGCTTCAGCTTTTCTGGAAGTGCAGGCAGGTTATGTACTGCTGGACAAGCTACAGCAATATTTGAGAGCACGTAAACGTAGTGAGGTTATTAAAGATATACAATGTTCAGTAACACTGCAGTTATTTTGTAGCTGCAGCCTAAATCCAAACTTGGCAACTTAGTATGGAGCAAGAATCACTCCATTAGAAGCAAATTTGTCGACCAGGTGGTTGGACAAAGAAGCTTCACTTGTGAATGCACTTGTGTGAGAATTGATGAGGATTTGTGGTCAGTCGAATTGGAATATTACAAAATGAACTCCTTTTGTATGTGTTGGAAACTATTGTGAAAATTACCACAAGCCACCTTTAATTCAGCAATTAATTAAGAAATTATTGAGAGGTCACTGTGCACATAGAGATGAGTATTGGCAACCTGGTATCTCCCCTCACCGACAGTGTAGTGTCACAGCAGCCACAAAGCCATGATGCCCTTGGCACATAGCCAGCATGGCTGACACTCCCTTTCACCTTCTCTCACCCGAGTCACTGTTTAATCACCAAATCACACACTTTACCTGTCCTTAGATGCATCCCATCTAAAGACCCTCTCTGATTCCCCACTACTCTTTCCCCAATGCCCACATCTTGTCATTGTTCAGTAGGAGAACATCACGTACTAGCAAGCATTCGGATAAGTCCAAACTTTTATTGACAGGAGGCATCTTATAGAAGTGTATAAGGTCATGACAGGCACGGATAGGGTGAATGTACTCAGTCTTTTTCCTAGGATTGGGGAATCAAGGACTAGAGGGCATCAGTTTAAGGTAAGAGAGGAAAGAATACATGGGAACCTGAGGGGCAACTTTTTTACACAAAGGGTGATATGCACATGGAATGTGCTGCCAGCTGAAGTGGTTGAGGCAGGTAAATTAACATCATTTAAAAGGCATTTGGACAAATACATGGAGGGAAAGGTTTAGAAGAATATGGGCCAAGTGCAGGGAAATGGGATTAGTGTGGATGGCCATTTTGGTTAGCATGGACCTATTTGGGCCAAAGGGCCTGTCTCTGTGCTGTAGGACTCTACAACTCTATAAGCCAACAAAAGGGAACAGGCTGCAGTTCAGCCCCACAATGCAATGCATCTGCAACAGGCAGATAAGTGAGGATGTGTATTTCCTTCAAGCTGGCATCTTGACCTTGAGCGTCCATGATGGTCTTCTCATCTACTAGAACTAGGTATCATTCAGGTCCAGTCTACCTGTGGTGCCCAAAGCAGCTGAGTTGTGTCAGTGATAAGCAGAGCTTCCTCTAGCTCAATGTTCTCATCTTTCTTCTTGGATAACTGCTCCAGTTCTCTAGTTCCTCAGCAATTATCACATCGCCTGCTCCCCCTCCCCTACTTCCTTAGCACCTATCACATCACCTTCTCCCCTTCCCCTAGTTCCTCAGCACCTATCACATAGCCTTGTTCTTACGCCAAAATGGTATGGCATACTATATCTGGACTATACTGGAGGAACCCACCCACCCTGCACCCAGACCAAACCAATCATTTTTATCTGGAGAATGGCAAGTAATGGCAGGGAAGGCAGCTCACAGTGTACACCATCAGTACCAGCCCCTACCTACCTGGTGAGCATCCCAAGTTCATGACTGAACTAGACTGTGCCAGTGCTGATAGTATTGAGAGGCCCTGACAGACAGTGGACCACCCGCCTGACTGGATTAGGAACTTGTCTGCATCCGCTGTTTCTGACATGGCCATTTGGTTTAATGATTGTGCTGTGTCCCTGCTGCACAGGCAACTGGCACATGCTGTAGTTGTTAGAATGATACCTCAATGTGCTGATTATCAAGGTAGTTCCTCACACCCCTCCCAAATCTAACCTGGACAAATTCTTACTGAAAATCTTGACAAGCAGCCTCTGTATTACCAGTTTCCAATTGGCCTTGAGAAGGTGGTAGTGAGCCATCTTTTTTGAATAGTTACACTCTGTGGTCATTGCAGGATTTGTTTCCATGATTAGAAATATTTATGGATACAATTTCAAGCAAAGCATTTTGTTTTATAAAACCAAACAAGATCTTGGCCATGACACGTTACACAGCCTGTGGGATAAGGACTTAATGCACTAATTTGAAATATTTGGACACTATTTTAACTGTTTATAATTGGCTCTATAATGCAGCATCTGTGCAAAAACAGAGAATAAATGTGTTTGTTGAATGAAATGCACAGAAATGGAAATAATGTAGAATGGACTATACTTTAAATTAAGAAGCAAAAATCTGATTTCTGTCCCAACACAATGCATGACCAAGTAATGAATCTTACTCCACAATGCTGTTAGATACAAAGCTTCAGGATTTTGTCCCAAATACAATAGGGGAATGGTGCTACCTTTCCACATTAGGATGGTGTATGATATACAGAGGAATTTGGAGATGCTGGTGTTTCCTTCCAGGTTGAGGACTTGGAAGATGCTTTTGAAGAAAACATGGTATCTTGCTGCAGTGCATTGTATTGATGGTAGATTCTGCAGCTATTATATACTGGTGATGGAGGGAGCGATGTTTAAGGTAATCTTTGGGATGTTAATCATCAGGCTGCATTGTTCTCAATGGTGGAAAGCTTCTGGAGTGTTCTTGGAGTTGCATTTATCGAAGCAAATGAGAACGTTCCATTACACTCCTAATTGTAGGTGGTGAAAAGGCTTTGAAAAGTCAGAGGTGTGTTACTCACCAAAGAATTCCTAGTCTTGAACCTTCTCTTGAATATGGTATAGTAATTAGGTAGCGAGTTCAGTTTAGTCTCTTGTTAATGGTAACCCCCCAGGATGTTGAAGATGGAGAATTCAGAATGGGAAATGCTATTGATTGTCAAGGGGAGAGGGTTAGATGCTGTCTTGTTAGAAATGTTCATTGCCTGCCACTTTTGTGGTGTGAACATTACTTGCCTATTATCAGCCTAAGCCAGGATGTTGTCCTGGTTTTATTGCATGTGGGCACAGACTGCTTTATTATCTGAGGAATTGCAAATGGAACTCAACATTGTGAAAGCATCAGTAAATATCCTCAGTTGCCCTTATGATGAAAAGTAATGAACAAAGCAGATGAAGCTGCCTGGGCATAAAATAGCACCCTGAGGAATTCCTGCAGCGGTGTTCCAGGACTGACATTTTTGTGCTCAACTACTGTTCACGACTGGATTTGGCAGTACTGCAGATCTCGCTGTTAGATGCCTGCTTCTGCTTGTGACATTCTCTTCTTTCCTCTTCACTAACCCAGGGATGATCCTCTGGTAATGGTAGAGTGAGATATATGCCAGGCCACATATTTACAGCCTGAGGTGTCAATACAATTCTGATGCTGCTGACAGCTCACTGTGTCTCATGGATACCCAGTTTGGGATACTACATCAGTTCTGAATCTATCCTATTTAGTACAATGCACGTGTCTTACAACAGGATGGAGGGTGGCCTCAGGCTGAGAGACAGGGATTTGTCTCCACTAGGAATTTCTATTGTTCCCTCCCATCTTTACAATCATGGACGAATGCATCTGGCCATGTTTCAAATACATAAAATAATCTATTTTGTAACAAGTCTAAAAATGTTGTTAAGATCAGGGAGGGTGATGTGAATCAGCTCCCTTCTGTGTTTACCACAAGAAAGATTATGCTCTTTTTGTCATGAGGCTAGCCCTTTCTTCAAATAAATGTAATTAACCAGAAACAATAAGGAGCCAAATACAAGGTTTTGGATGAAATAGCATTTTATTATGTGCTAACATCAAGAAAATAATAAAGAATGACATCAAGCATGCATACACACAAATACAAAGCTAAATAGGGTAGAGCCCACTTCAAAAGAGAGTTGAAAGAATATATGGTTTAAAGTCCTCAGGGTGTCCTTTGAGGTGTATGGTTTTACCCTCAGACTATGGTTGTTGAAGTGAGTAGTGAGTATTTCAGTTGTCCTTTATATTCTCAGTAATAGAATAAAATAGAATCCCTACAGTGTGGAAGCAGGCTATTTGACCCATTGAGTCCACACAACCATTCGAAGAGCTTCCCACCCAGACCCACCCTATCCCTATAACCCTGTATTCCCCATGACTGACCCACCTAGTCTGCACATCTCTGGACAATTTTAGCGTGGCCATTCAACCTAACCTACACATCTTTGGACTGTGGAAGGAAACTGGAGCACCTGGAGGAAACTCGGACAGACACAAGTAAAATGTGCAAACTCCTCACAGGCAGTCGCTCAAAGGTGGAATTGAGCCACCATGCCACTCCAAAAGTTTCTTTTCTTTTAATCAGCCCTATCAATGGGCACTTTGTCCTTCGAGAGAAACTGAGAAAGAACACTTTCTCCAGTTTGTTCTGATCACAAGTCTATCTCCTCGGCGTTACCAAAAGCAGCTCCCTGAAATACAGATGGTTATATATTACAATTTTGAATTCCTTATGCTTATCTTGATAATTGCTGGCATAAGCTTTCTTCTTTGCTATGTGAAACTTATCATAAAATTGTAATCAAAATAGAAAAAAATGGTTTCCTCATGACTGACTGAGTTCATAGCCTTTTGATGAAATGTTAATTTCAGTTCAGATGATCTTGTTTATTCTACTTTGGCTTCATGAAGCTTGTCCTTTCCTGTGTGGTCAGCTGATTACTGTGGCCCTTCTAAGTCAGTGCTTTGTCCTTGTAAAAAAACACATTAGTCCATGTATATCATGTAGATATTAAAATCAGCTGACGGAATTTGAAAATCGATTGTCCATTTTTTGAACCATTATTGTGACAGTATGTTCATATATCAGGGTTACCAATTCTGGTTGTACTCCTGGAAGTTTCATCACAAGAATGCTAAC